TGCTTCTCCTGGCGGTGGCTGCAGTGTCTCTCCCCCTTTTTCCTGTTTCTCCAATTCTCCTCTCTCCTTGTCCCGCTTGTACTTCCTGTCTGGTCACTGGCCATCAGTGTTTTATTTATATAGAGCAATATCCACAGCACATGACCTTGAGATTCTGCTTCAGCGATTAAAATTTTTAAAATTACTCTGTTGTGAATATCACAGGGCTAGCACATTTTCCCACAGAAAAGTGGGAGGGAGAGTAGTAACAGTTAATTAATTAAGTAGTAATAGTTTGTAATTAATTAATTAAGCAGCAGAAAACTTTGGGCAGATTTTAATAGTAAAAGAAATTTAATATGTATGGATACATTAAATTGCATGATACATCACAAGACTGAAAGATGCTTGGGCTAATTTGGTTTATGACTGTAATTGCATTAAGGCAAGCATGTAAGTGTAGGCTACTGAATTAAGAAACTGGGCTTAGTACGTGAGGTAATTGTCTCTTGTTATATAACAAATCAATTTAGTAGCTTAAAGTAGCACATTTAGTTATCATCTCTCAGGCTCTGTGGGTTGGGAACCTGGGCACAGTTTTAATTGGTTCTCTGCTTTGGGGGCCATCTTTCACAAGGCTAGGAATAATGTCTAACTTGATGTCAGGAGAAAGTTACACTTCTAAACTTTGGTCTGTGGTTGTTTTCAGGACATGAATCCCATAGGCTATTGGGATGAAGATCTCCATATTGTATATGTGGTTGTGTAAAATATATCCTCAGTTCTTTGTCATATGGACCACAATATATGAGAGGTTGGCTTACTGGGGTCAGCAGGAATGTAGGCTAGTAAGACAGAAGTTGTCATCTTATGTAATATAGAAGTGACAGCCCATAAACTTTCCTATATCCTGTGAATTAGAAGCAAGTCACAGACACTGCTCATACTGAAGATTGGGGGTTGCATAAGGACATAAATATCAAGGGTCAGAATTACTAGAGACCTTTTTAGAAGCCTTGTACAGAAGTGGGCATTAGCTCTATATGTGCCTATGTTGATGATTTGCCTAGAGTAGAGTGTAGCCTTCTCATCCGAAGAGTACTCTTGAGAATCTAGGTCCTGTGGTGGTCTACATTTATATGCAAAGTTCTGGTCTTGTTTCTGTGTAGTCTGTTTTCTACGAGGATTCTGGAGTAATAGCTATTTCTGGAATTACATATAATATGTCAGTATTTTCATGTCTAGGGCAGTTCTGATTTGACCATGTTCAGGGACTACAGTGCATCTTAACTGAAAACTGATCACATCTACTAAATTTGTAGGGCTTTGCCCTAGAACATAAAAAGATATTCTCATACCAACAGTCTCAAAGTATTAGTTATGTGTTGGGACAAAGGGTTGCTTTTCCTATCTAAATGACTTTGCTGATCCAAGGTATCTAATGTTTAATTAAGGTGAAATAGTTTAAAGAACTGCTCCTCTTAGGAGTTTGAAGAGAGAGCTCTTGAGTGGTGGTGTCTCTCAGGAGTGAAATTCATTCAATGGAACTGGGATACTTTTTCTTCCTGATTTTTACCCATTTAGTTTCTTCTTTCCTTCCTACTCTGGAGTTTAAGTTGGACTTGAACTAAGAACAAGCCTCCAGTGTCTGCCTCTCAGGTACTGAAGTTATAGATGTAAGCCACCATATATGACACTTCTGTTGGTCACTAGCTTAATAATTTCTAACCCTTAGTACCCAGGAATGCCTTAGATCACGCTGTCTCCCACATATATGTCTCCATCTGGTTTTGATAAGCAAACTTCCTTATAATTCAACAGAGAAAATAGACTACAAATCAAAACAAGACACCTCCATTCAAAAAACACATGCAATTAAGACTATAGATATAAATAAACAATAGCAAAGTCAATACACATAGCAGAGAAGTAAGTAGCTATATAGAATGTTATTTTATAAATTGCACAATTGTATAGCAGTGTTTTTGTCTCTTAAGAATCCTTATGTCTAACTATAAAATGGTGTGCCCTAAAACCAAAGTTTGAAATACTTAATATAAAGATAGGTATACTTGCTTTATTTGAACACGTAAATTTAGATCTTATATAAAGACACACACAGTTACATATTCTAGGAATATGAAATAAAAACAATAACAAAATCTTAGAAGAAAAATTTCCTATTTAAAACACTGTTGGGTCTCACATGCAGTATGTGAAAAGGGCAGCTTGAGCCTTCAAGTTGGTCCTTGGCAGGGGGTTGAGAAATTTGATGAACATAAAACAGGGAAAAGACTCAGTGAGTTAACCTATTGGTCACCTCCGGCATTTGGGCAAATGAAGATCTTCAAAGTGACTTTGATGAAATTTCTAAAAACATGAAAAATGGAAAACCCAAAGATAGTGAGCCAGTCATCCTTGTCTATCAACTTCACATCCTGCATCCCACATTCTCTGGAGAGAAAGCATGAGGCAAAGACATTTCATTGTGACTAGTATACTGTTAGCTCTATAATGGGTACAGGTGTCAGATCTATAGGACTACAGTGGTTATATATATCATCAACCTATACAGGCATTTTCCTCATAATTTCTTAAACAATACAGCACAATAACTATTTACATAACATTTATAGTGCATTGGGTATTATAAGCAGTCTAGACATGATCTAAAGCACATATGGGGGTGTCTGCAGGTTACATACAAATATGCCCACCTCAGTAAGGGACTAGAGTATCCACATATTTGGTACCACTGGCAGGTACTACAAGCAAATAGTTCTACACAATGTCGTCTCAGACAAAGGACTTGAGCATCTCCAAGATTTGATATCAACTTGGGAAAGGAGCCAATTCCTCATGGATACTGATAACCAACTATGTGTGAATTAGAAAAATGAAAAGACAGAAAATAAATTTCCTGCTGACTACATACTACAAGAGGTGGCTACCCCTGAGAGATAAATTTCCCCTGAGCAGATGACATGCACATGTTCTGTGGATGTTTAGAGAGGTGTGTGAGGTTTAGAGATTGATGAGCTTCCAGAGCATAACTGGTTGACAACATCTGTACAAGTAGGTATTCACGTGAGAGGGCAGTTGATCGATTGACATGCCTGTGTTGATGTGAATGTTTCCCAGATCATCAGAAGTGAGGCTAACACTCAATGGTTGGTGGGCAAAAACATGTCCACTAAGGTGGGTTGGTGCTGAAGGTCTGAACACAGGTAAAATTGGCTCTTCTGGTCCCTTGTGTGGTGTGTGTGAGGTCTTCTTCTGGGGCTATAGAACAGAGACTCTTTCTCTAGATTCATTAAAATAATTCCAACATCACAGTTTGGGAAAATACCAGTCTAGACCAAACACAGATGGTTGAGAAGGAATTGTCTCCTGAGAAATTCCTTAGAAACACAATACCCACAGAGATGAGTGGATTGAGCTTTCATTCTATTAACT